TTGTTTGAGAAATTAAAGCATTATGGCATGATTGCACTTATTCCTCCAAATCATGTGGACCCACGTGCAAGAAGCTTTGACCTTTCTAAAAGGTGTGAATACCATTCCAATGCCCAGGGGCACAATGTTGAAAGTTATCGGGATTTGAAAAGAGAAATAGAAAGGATNAACAGTGACACCCAGAATATTGCGCAGAATCCTTTACCTGCACATGATGATGTACACTTTGTGGGGATGATGCGTGGTGATACGGAGTATGAGAATCCTCTCGGGAATTTGCTAACTGAAGTTAATGATTTTGAAATTGGAGAAGGCTCTGCTGATTCTGATGAGCAAATTTGTGGCTAAATATCAAGCCTAGCAATTGAAAAGTCATTCCCTCCTCACTAGTAAAGAATCTTGGTAGCTTGTTTTGGTGTTTTCTCTATTATCTGGGTTATTTTAGGGTTGTGATCTAGATTTATTTGTTTTATTGAGTCAAACCCTTCTATCCCTCCATTTTATTTGTGTGAGCCTTGTCTGTCTGTTCTGTTGCTATTTTCATTATTCGGGTTATTTTAGGGTTGTAACTCGTATTTTGGGTTTCTTGTTTAGTTGTAAAACCCTTTCATCCTTTACTCAATAAAATACAGTTTGTCCTTCTGTGTCATTCTGTTCCTAGTTCTTTTCTCGCTAGTTCTAATGACATGACATGCATGCGGAAATTTTGGCCAGATCTTAGGAACTGATTTAATCTGGAATTCGATAACTAAAAAAATACTTTTGAGGATGAATAAAGAGTTGGAATACTTTGGAACTAAGGTCGAGTAAAATTCACCTTCAAATCATTGTGAAGATCGGGCTTGAGGATGTTTAATCAATTGATGTTTGTTGGAAAGTTTGTCACTAAGGGATGAAAAAATGTCTTGTGACCACGGCACACCAAGAAGACAGACATGTTCGTCAATGCTGTGATCGCGAAAAGATACCATGTTTGACGTTCTTGAGGTTGGAAGACCCTTTTTCTCCTACTCAAACACTTTATATCCTTTACTACCCTTTTTGAGCCTGTATTATTTTTCTTTGACTACCCTCTTTTGGAATCAAGTTTAGAGTCAAAAAAAATTCATGTCCCCAGAGTACAAACTGGGGCAATTCTTAGAAAGTTCAGAAAAAAAAAAGATTTGTCAAAGGTCCATGCCCTAAAAATAGGAGCTGGGGCAACTTGTTTTGAAAATAAAAGAAAACGAAAGAAAAAAAAAGAAGAAAAGAAAAGAAAAGAAAATAAAAAACAACAGAAAGAAAAATGAAAAAAAATTAATTAGTTCAGATGTTTGAACTACGTTAGACTTGATTCCTTTAAAATAAGGATACATAGGCAGCCTTACGGTTCGGTCCAACCAAATAAGAATTTAGAAGAAAAATAAAAAAATAGAAAAATCCAAAAATCCCCAGTATCTGAAACTGGGGCAAAGATTTTATTTCATTTTTGAAAGAGTCGATTCCAAGAGTTGTAAGTCTACAACACCTCATTTTGAGTTTATTTTGAGCCTTCAGGCCGACCTTTCTTTCCAATCCTATCCAAAAACCTTCCAAATAAAGACCTCCCAATATGCCTTCAAGAATGCCAAGAGACGCATGCAATGAGCAACAGTTATCACACAACGTAGAACATCGTCGAGTTGCTCACAAAAAAGAGGGAAAGAAAAAAAAAAAGAAAAAAAATGATATAGTCTTATTAGTGAAAACCCCTCACGGGCACAGTAAGACGACGGTAAGCAGAGATGAATAATGAGAGAGACTTGTCAGTGAAAACTCCTCGGGGCACCACTAGTCGAAAGTGAGTCATGAAACTGATGCAAAGAATTGGCAGCCCTACTTCAAAGGTCATAAGAATGGTAAAATGGAAGATTGGATTAGTTTGATAGATCGGGCCGTGGAGTCCAAAATGCATGTCAAGATCATTAAATAGTTATTGAAAAAAAAAAGAAAAAAAAAATTCCTTCTATCCTTCCCGACAGGGACATTTCTTGTTAATATTATTTCTTTGCATCATTTGTTTCCTCCACTCTGAGTCAGTCCTTGTCAAAACAAGCAAGAAAAAATTTCAAAATCTGCTACCAGCTTTTTAGTTTCACAAAGTAAATTTGGTCAACATATTCGGTTGCTACTGTCAACGTGCCTTGAGGATTTATGCAACGGCTCCCCCAAAAGACTCTTGTCAGCCTACTTGGCGCAAGCAAAGATAACTACTGATTCTTTTTGACAGACAAATTGCTCAAAAGAAGGAAGTCATTCAAGATATCAGAAAAGGTCATCTAAGCAAAGATCTCCAGTTGGGATAAGGTTGTTTGAGCTGCAAATACAAACGGTACTGGGTGTAAAACAATCAGAGTTGGTGCAGAACAAAAGTCTCTTGAGACCGACTCAGGCTGATCGAGCAAAAGCCAAGCTGCTCAAGACTCAAGGCCACAAACCGACCATCACTTTCAAAACTGGCAAAATTTTCTTTGTTTGAAATAGGAACAAGGCAGTGCAAGGAAAGAGGTTCCAAAAAAAAAAGAAAAAAAAGAAAGAATGGAAAAGAAAAGAGAGAAAAAAAGAAAGAGAAAAATAGAAAAGAAAAAAGCAAAAAAAAAAAAAGACAAAGAAAAGAAGAGAAGAGCCGACGAAGGGAAGTTTCTCAAATTTTTACCTCTATTTGTCTTGTTAATATGCATAAAGTCATGTCATTGCTCTTTACATTTTCCTCCTAGGGTAATATGTCCTAGTCTGATGGATTTTCCTTCCAATCGAAATCTTAGTCTGATGAATTTTTCTCCTAAGATAGAAGACCTAGTCTGATGAACTTTTTCCTAGGATAAAAATCTTAGTTTGATGAATTTTCTCCTAAGGTAAAACCTAGTCTGATGAACTTTCTCCTAGGATAGATGTCTTAGTCTGATGAATTTTTCTCCTAAGATAGAAAACCTAGTCTGATGAACTTTCTCCTAGGATCAAAATCTTAGTCTGATGAATTTTTCTCCTAAGATAGAAGACCTAGTCTGATGAACTTTCTCCTAGGATAGAAATCTTAGTCGGATAAATATTTCTCCTAAGATACCAAAAAAAAACAAAAAAAAAAGAGAAAAAGGACCTAGTCTGACGAATTTTCTCCTAGGATATTTTAAAAAAAAGAAGAGGAAGTCTGGATTTTCTAAAAAAAAAAGAAAAAAAAGGGGTCAATTTTTAGATTTCTTAATTTATCAATCTTTAGTTTTCTCGAAATCAGGGGTCCCGCCTTGGAGAATAGGGTCAATTTTTACTTTAGTCAAGCGTAGTTTATAGTTTTCCGCAAGTTCAATCTTAAATCTAGGAGACGCACTTCCTAGTTTGGTTCATTCAGGTTTTATTTTTAGCAGACGTATTGGCTAGACAAAGGTTTTTGGTTTTACTCATAGGAGACACACATCCTAGTCTAGTCTTTAGTTTACTCTCATCATTGCATCAATAGTATAAGTGGTTTACAATATTGCTAACAACCCACAAATCTTACTAGTGCAAACTGGGGCGGAAAATTTCGTTTGCTTTGTTTGTTTTGATTTGGCGTCCACCTGGAGAACAAGGGAAGACAGTTCAAGTTTCAAGGGAAGACAATTCAAGTTTCAAGAGAAAGCAGTTCCAAAGGAAGACAGTTCAAGTTCAGCAATCAGGCGCCCACCTGGAGAACAAGGGAAGACAGTTCAAGTTTCAAGGGAAAATAGTTTTGAAGGAGGACAGTTCAAGTTCAGCAATTAAGCGCCCACCTGGAGAAAAAGGGAAAATGGTTCCAGTTTCGAAGGAAGACAGTTCAAGTTTTGGCAATCAGGCACCAACCTTGGAAACAAGGGAATTCACTTCAGAATGCAATTCAAGTCAGCCACAAAAGAAGCTCGCAGCAAGAATGTGAGTCAACAATCCGAGATGATCAACGGAAGTTCGCCACAATCCAGAATAAAAAAAGAAAGAAAAGAAAAGCAAGAAGAGAATCCAAATGCAGAAGATGATGAAAGATGTGAGCTACTCAAGACATGGCTGAGGTCACAAGCACTGCATGTCCGGTCTTGATCCGAAGGAACCGTGGAAGATTGAGCTAACACCCGCAGCTAACAAGTATCAAGATTCAGATCAGTCCACATGAAGAACCAACCAAGACTCAAGATCAAACTTCAGAAGATTCATAGATAGGAATCTTTTAACTCGTAGCTTGTAGGCTTTGTTAGACTTTTCAATTTTGATTTTTGATGTAATAATAGGACCGCGGACCGAAACCTTGACGGCACCTCGACCGGATCTCCACCTCGGCATACTTCATCATCTCACTCACATCTGAACTACACGTGGCCTGATTCCTTTATAGCCAAGGATATGTAGGCAGCTCAGATACCAGGGCTCGGTCACATTCCCCTTTTCTCTTAGTTTTTGGTCTCCTTAAATAAGGGTCGGGTCAAAAAAACCTATCTAGTCGTTCTTTGTCCGAAAACGCTTCGCGTTTCCAGTCAAAGAGGGGCAGCTGTAGACATGTGATTTTTGACCCTCCCCAAGATTTTTTATATTTTAGCACGTAAATATTTAATTTAGGCCTAATACAGCTATTTTAAATAATCTTGACTCTTTTACTTTATTTCATCACAAAAAATGAAAATTACAAAAAATATTTTAGTTTACGTATCTTTCGTAAATTTAAATAAAAAATATACAAAATAGTACCTTATATTTATTTTTATATAATCTTGAAAACACAAAAAATAGTTTTATGTTTTATAGTTTAGTTCAATTAATTAAAATTAATTTTATATTTTTATATTATAATTGTACATAGTTTTAGAAGGAGGAATTAGTTTTAGGTTGGTTTATCCCGTCTTTATAAATCCTGTAGTCCATTTCTCTAGACTTTGGCCCAATTCCCTAGCTCATAATTCCTAGGCTCATACCCTTAACCTAATCTCTACCCCTATATAATAGTACCTAATACCTAAATATGGACACTCTATTGCACACAATCAGCCGTTTCTATTATTTTGAGACCTAAAAAAGAGACTAACGCCTGCAGCTTTTGGCAAGAGAGACCCTATCGTCCTGCATCTCCTTGTTCAATTGGCATTTGAGAAAAAACAATATAGAACCCTACCCCCATCGTTCTGCTTTTTCTTCTCCAAGAGGAGCACCGCAGACCCTTAGAACAGACCCCTCTTCTCTCTTCTACAAAGCCTCCCACCGTTCTTCAACCAAACAAAAAAAAAACAACGACCTCCCTGGTCGTCTTCTTTATCAAAAAAGCTCCAAGAGATATACACCCAAGGAAGCAGTAGTTGCACCCAAACAACCACATCAGTTTTGTCTCATCTTCAACCATATATGCAGATACAGTATATGGGAAACGGAGGAGGGAACGGAGAAGAGAAACAAAGGAAACCGGATAGAGGGAGTGACAAAAATAGAACAAAGGTTTGGGGTTTTTGGTTTTGCTTCTGATTTTCACTTTTCTGATTTCATCTTAGTTCATTGATATTAAAAAATAATTTCAGTTGATTTTGGCTTTGTTTCTGATTTCAAACTCGAAAATATAATGAAAATTCTAGATCTTCTTTTGGTCTTGGCTTTCGAAACGGAGTGGAGTTGAAATAGGTGTTCGATCGTAGAAGTTGCCATCCGAGAGGTGAGGCAGTCCAGTCAGGGATTCGATGAGGTTCCGTCGAGGTTCGATTTAAGATCATGGCTCTTTGTTTCCGATTTGAGATCTGTCCGGCATCTATTGGTTCAAGCTTCAGTTGTTTCGAATTTGGGGTTGTAGCATTTGCTTGATTTCTATCCGTGTAATATTGGGAATTTCATCTAATGAAAGTTCAATTCTGTTTTTGCTTCCTTCACATTTCAAAAAGTGATGTTCCATTTTTGAATTAGCTAAGATTTGTGTTCAACGCCACCACCGTTCAAGCGCAATCGAAGCTCGAGTTCGTTGATTCGAGTCCCTGTAGCGATTTGTTGCTGTTTTCGGTCAAATTGTCATTGTCGGATTCATGTGTGCCTACTGATTTTCATATAGCAAAAGAGTCGTCTTTAACAGGTTCATACCTTTTCCTTGACTCAATTTGGATTATGGTAAGATAAGCTTTAGGAGAGTCATTAAAGGATTAGGTAAATGAACAATGACTTCTGGGACTGTGTTTAATTTCGTCTTGAATTAGTTTACTTTGTATTGATTGCATCTTGTCTGAATTCCATCTCCTAGAAATGTTTCCATTCAAGTAAGGATTAGATAGTTTGGATCTCTATCATTGTGGTGAGTTTGCATTAATATGTTAAATAGGCATGGGAAGGTCAACTACAACACTATCCTTGTGAGCTTGTTATGCATCTGATTGTTTCACTTGGGAATCTTAAACGCTAGGTGCCATCTAGCTGATCCTACATGCTAATTGAGGCTTTGTTGCATTGATATGTTAAAGTAGGTAATCTATAGTAAAATGGATGTATTGGTTTATGTGATGCCTGTTTAGAATTAGAATTGTACAAGCTAAAGACTAAATTAGGTGGTGATAAAATCTTTAAATGGCTTTTCTTAATCGTTTTGATTCACCCTTTCCTTGCTCAATCATTTGATGGCATTCCGTAGTTGTTACCTCTTAAATGTCTTTCAGTTTGAATTCACTATTTTGATTTTGTCAAATATGAAATTATGCGGATGACTGTAGGGTGTTGGAAAAATGGGGTAAATTAAGGAAGTCAGCATGTTATTGTCACTCAACTTTCTTTTATTTTATGTTGTAATTATCCTACTGTTTCGATTGTTAGGAGTATGCTTAGGCCGTTAATGTTGATAAGCATTCGTAGTTTGCTTTAGGTATATAATTACAACATCACCACTACGGGTACGGTTCCGTGGCGTAGTTGTAATACTTAGTTTCAAATTTTAAATATGAATATCCGTAGTTCATTTTGTTGAATGTCTTCTCCTTTAATAGAAATCGAGGCATGCCATTTAGCTGAATTCCCATGGCCCTCGCAAAACTTGAAAGTGCGCAGTTGCTTTAGGCGCGTTATTTTAATAATTTACTTTCCTTAAACTCGGGTGTGCATTTCATGTGACCCAAATCCAAATCCTAACAATGTTGGATAAAATATGTCGCAGATCGTGGGTGCATTTCATGTGACGTGATCCAAAAACGTGTTTTGTATAATGTTGAAATCTTTCTAAAAAATATTTAAATAAAAGCGGTTATAAAGTTAAAGTTGAACCGTAGGCTAAAACATGTATTAAAATCAAGTAAATAGGCCAAATATAACAGTTGAGCGACCTTGCTAGAACCACGGAATTCGGGAATGCCTAACACCTTCTCCCGGGTTAAAAGAATTCGTTACCTAGATTTTTGTGTTCGCGGACTGTAATACAGAGTCGATCTTTCCTCGATTCGAGATTTGAACCGGTTACTTGGGACACCATAATTATCCCAAGTGGCGACTCTAAATTTTTCATAAATAAATAATCCCATTTCGATTGTCACTTTAAATTGGAAAAAACTCCCTTATATACATCCTTTCGGGGTGTAGTGAAAAAGGAGGTGTGACAGCGCTTAGGCTCTTACGTGTCTGGTCGATACGACCTCTAATGTAGGCTTTATTTTTCTCTCGCTAAAGACTTTTTGAAATTTTTGTGTCCGCCCGACTCTTCGACGGTTCAATAAGAACCTCGATTGTGAGCCGTTATGCAGCGATAAATAAGCACCTCGGGAGGTTTTGCTCGATGGCTTAATTGTTTTGAAGCCTGTTGTTTAGAGCTGGCATGGTTGAAGCTTTTTACTTAATCGAGGGTAGCCTTATTAACCGATTCTTTTTGAAGTATTTTCAAAGTTATTTAAAGGCCTGTCAATTTATAGCGACGATCGGGCATCCCCGAGTCGCGTGAGTTTGGTCGGAGCCTTGTGACCATAGTCATTATGTTTGGTCATAGTCTTTCAGTCCTCGAGTGAAGTAGTTTCGGCGTTTATATCGAGGGTATGCCTTTTTAGGGGTTTTACAAGTTCGAATATATAGCCTTAACATTAAGATCGGGATGATGCCTTTTGCAAGGTCTTATAAATTTTAACATGCCTTACTTGAGGTCTTATAGATTTGGTTACTTGGTACAAATATAATTCACGCCTTGCTTGAGGTCTTACAAATTTGGTATTGCCATATGAAGGTCTTACGAGCTTGAGGTTGCCCACATGGGGTCTTATAGCCTCGGGTTTTCGACAAATCGAAGGGGTGACAGTCGGCGATAATTGAGGCATCGAAAGTTTCTTGGCTCTGGAGCCGTTCCTTGTAAACTTGGAATTGCCTCATTGAGGGCTTACGAGTTTGAAGTTTTCGACCTGGAGGTCATATGGCTTCGAGTTTTTGACGTCCGTCCCCGAGTGTTTGGGAAATTTTTGGCTTTGGAGCCGTTTCTTGTAAAAAATAGTAGACTTCCTTGAAGCGTAAAGCGTTTTGATGGAGGAAAAATATTCTTTGATTACTTGTCACAAGTATACATGTTTTCGTTGTCAAGGGTTCGGTTATTCTATGTGGACACGGTTCGTTCGGCCATTTGGCCCGATATACTATTTTCCTATTGAGGCCCTTTTTGGCACATTCTTGACTTCTCCGAGGAGGTGATCTCCCAAGGCGATGCCCCCCAGTATTCGAGGTTGATTGAAGAGAAGCCTTGAATATTTCTTGAGTTCTTCTTGGGTAGCATATATGTGTTGCCTCGTTAAAAACCTTGCCGGTAAAACCCTTCTTGGGATAATATCTGATCAAAGGAAAATAGTGCAATGCATGCTTTAAAACCTAAGGTCTTTGAGCTGGACAACGCTTCGACTATTCTGATTGGACACCTGCACAAAGGTTTGTGTAAGATGTAAATAAAAAGGGAGATGGTTATACCTTAGTGGTGATGGCGCTTTGAGCCTCGATATGCTTCAAACGTTTGCTCTGGGGATGCGGCACGGTCCTTTGCATATTTTATTTGGGTGTAGCCAAGAATGTGTCTCGTGATTGCTACTTCACTGTTTGCTTATCCTTTGGCTCCTTCGACATTGAAGGTGTCGATGTCGGTACCATATCGTGCACCGCAAACATCTTCCTCGCTGCATGTTGTTCACCATACATTTGTTTTTTATTCCGTCCTTCATCAGAAAATTCGTCATTTGATGACGGTTGATAGTACTACTCTCATGCAGTGTATCCATGGCCTTTCGAGCAAGGCGTTGTACCTCATGTCTCCTTAGATGACATGAAATTTGACATTTTGGGTCGTGCCGACCACGTTGACTAGGAGGGTGATTTCCCCTTTTGTTGTTTCGCTCGCCATGTTGAATCCGTTGAGGACTCGAGAGGCAGGCACGATCTGGTCAAGCAGTCCGAACTACTCCACCACCCTTGACCTGATAATGTTGGCCGATATACCTGGATCCACATGCACACGCTTAATTTGAAATGTATTCCCAAGAAAAGAAATTACCAAGGCATTATGAGGTTGAGACAGGGCCTCAATGTCCTCGTCATTGAATGTGAGAGCATCCTCGGGTATATAACCCCGAGTTTGCTTCTCCCTAGTGATGGATATTTTAGTTCTTTTGACAATGGGTTCCCGCGGGATGTCGATTCCTCCAACGATCATGTGGATGACATGTTGCGGCTCATCTGTTTCATTTTTCCTGTTCGCCACTCTTTCTCAGAACTAATTTTTGGCTCGGTCACTAAGGAACTCTCGGAGGTGCCCTTTGCTAAGTAGCCGGGCTACTTCTTCTCGGAGCTGTCTGCAATCGTTGATCCTATGATCGTGTGTGCCGTGAAATTCGCACACTAAGTTAGGGTCCCCCGCGACGGATCTGATACTACAGGTCTTGGCCACCTAGTGTCTCTGATTCTACAGATGGCAGATATGATGTCCGAAACGTCAACGTTGAATTTGTATTCAAACAATCGGGTGCCTTCGTCGGTGTTGTGTGTCTGTCGAATCCGGCTCTACTTACAGGTCCCCGAGGATTCTAACCTCGATCTGTCCTTCGATCACTTTGGGGTATATTACGCCTTGGGTCATTTCTCCTTTCTTCGATTTATGGTTGGTACCTTTCCTTGTTTGGCTTTGGCTCCTTTTCTAGGAGTCTTCTTGGATATACCGAGCCCGAGGAGGCTCTCAGTTGGTCGTCCTCGACCATAATCTTCGATTGATATCGGTTGTGGACATCCGACCAAGTCACAACGTTATTCAACCAATTTCTGCTTGGATGAAGGCCTAGCTCAGTCATCGGAGACTAGTGGTAATTCCATCCGCTCCATTTGAAAGCGACATACGAACTCCTACGGTATCTCATTTTCCATTTGTTTGATTTTGAAGACGTCAGATTTCCTTGTAGCCACCTTGATGGCACCGGCATATGGCTTTATGAAGGAATATGCCATCATGGCAAATGATTCTATCGAATTCAAAGCTAGGTTGTGATACCACATCATGGCCCCTTTCGAAAGTGTTTCTCTAAAATTTTTTAGCAGTACGGATTCGATCTCTTTGTCCCTCGGGTCGTTGCCCTTCACCGCACAAGTGTAAGCAGTGACGTGCTCATTTGGGTCTGATGTTCCGTTGTACTTCGGAAGATCGGGCATTCTGAATTTCTTCGGGATAGACTTTGGAGCGGCATTTTGTGGGAATGGCTTTTACATGAACTTCTTTGAATCTACACCCTTCAGGATCAATGGTGCGCCCGGAATCTGATCGACCCTTGAATTGTAGGTCTCTACCTTTTTGTCGTTGGCTTCTATCTTCTTTTCGCCCGGTTCGATCCTCTTTGTGAGGTCCTCAAGTATCTTTATGATGGCGGGGTCGGCTGTTGACCCGTTGTTGCTT